TCTGCCAGAGCGATGCCTGTGGGCTCAGGTATGGCTGCCCGGAGGTAGGAGAGCAAGTGGGTGAGGGTAGGAGTGCAAATTCCAGATGGTTGCACATGAGATTTTGTCAGAGGCTTTTAAGGAGGAACAATTTTTATCTTGGGATGTTCTGGGTGAGGGCTGAGATCCCCAAATGGGAACGCTTGCAATGAGGCAGCCCCAGCCCCACGGGTTGTCCCAGTGCGCATGGGGCGAATAGCGTGGCGGAAAAGCCTGAGCAACTGCTGCCAAATGACTGGGAAGATGCAGCCCACGATGTCTGTTGTGTCTGAGATCTCTGTAAAGTCTCTCGCATCCTTCTTCAAGTTTAGTTTTCCAGTGGAGGCTGTCGCGGTAATGAGAATGTCTCCCATCTGCTCCTCACATAGCTTGGCACATTTAGCTAGAATATATATATTTTTATTATGGAGTTAGCCAGTGGTAACCATGACGATTAGACTTATCACGCAGCATTTTTTTCCCTCCTCAAGTCAGTTTGAAATGCTGACAATTAAATAGATACAGTACACTTTAGAGATCCATCAGTCTCTTTGTTGTCTTGACAACCAGACTATATTTAGAAACGTAACAAGTACATGGAGTTCAATTGCACTTTTGCTAAAACATAGTTTTGTAGCTTGAGAATTTAATCTGTTTGTAGATGCAGGTGCTTATTTGAGTGGTGCCTGACTTTCTCTTTGGTCTCTCTGGGAAGCTCCTACATAGCAGTGAGGAGACTTGGCCAGTGGAAAGAGGGTCCTTGTCAGGTGGGGAGTGCACCTGCCTGCTGCTTGCTGGAGATGTTGTGCATGGCGTGGGCAAGGGCCTGGCAGCTCCTGCCTACTCGGGTACTGGCTCTCCTGTAGCCCTTGGGTGCTCATGGTGCCCAGTAGCCCTGGGTAATTGTGGTTGGGCTATTGATTTGCAGTGCAAGAAGAATGTGTGGGATCGTTGTTCCAGATCTGCTGTTCCTGCAGATCAAGCTCAGCAAAAGGTACTGGCGAGCAAGAAGTAGCTTGTCTGAGCATCCTCTCCCCTCCCAGGTGAGCTGCTCTCATGGTTCAGTAGCACTTTGGTACAGGAGGATGGTACCATGGTGTGTGACGTTGGAAGACTGTGGTGTCTTTCCTCTTGCACCTGAGCTACCTGAGTGTTGATTGGAGCTGGGACCTGCTCTCTGCCACTGAAGCAATAGCGGGGATAGTTTCTCTGTATCCCTTCTTCTGTTTTGTCTTTGATTTGCCTGGAGTGTGTTTTGTTTAATTTTGACAAAATAATACAACTTTTTTTTTCTATTCCATTTGACTGGCAAAATTGAGGTCATCCTCTCCTTATGAGCTGGAGTAGCAGCACGTGGGCTAGGTCTCTGGAGCTATGGATTGTTAAGGTTGCATTCAGGGCTGGAAGAGCAGAAGAGACTGCTGATGGAGTGCACCTTGGAGGGCTGTAAATGTCCCTGTCCCCCACCAGCCCTGTGCACACACTGATGGTGGGTGTGCACTGTGTGGCTGTGCTGCTCTCTGCCCTTTCCCTTCTGAGCCAGTGGAGGTCGGTGCAGGCGCCTGTGTGGGTATCACAGCCGTACCTGTTGTGGTGATGTGCCAGCCTAGAAGAGCAGCTGGGTCATGTGGCTGCCATCCTGCAGTCCAGTGGTTGTGAGACGTGGGCTAGCACCACAGGGGTCTCGTTACGCTCTTAAAATAGGAGCTTTAAGATAGGCAGTGCTGTTGGCTCTCAAAGCTGTTTCTGAAGCAAGACACACTCGGGATCTGAGGGTATCTCCCTGTCTTGAGTGATAAATGAATGAAATGAAAATCAGATGAGGAAATAGCTCAAACATTCCCCACTATTCCTCTGTGGCTGACCCAGGTTGTGACACTGGTCAGGGTTGCCCCTTTGGAAGGCTCCAGGTCAAGGGGTTGTTAAAAAGGGCTTCTTTGGGATGAGGTATTGGTGGCCCTTCCTAATCAGCACCTGAGCCCTGGGGCAGGGCCTGGCATGTTTGTGGATTCTCTGCAAAATGTGAAGCAAGGCTCTTCCTGTGTGATGCTTGGCTTCTAAATGATGCTCGGCAGTATAATTTGAGCAGGCCAACTGAAACAAACAAATGAACCAAGACTCTCCTTCATCAACAAAGCTGCGGCAATGCAACAGTCTGAACAGGAGCTTTGTTATGGTGGATGGGGTGGCCTTTTGCCCAAGGGAACCAGTTAGTTGGGTGAGATGGTTTAAAGATAACCCTGAGTCCATGGATGTAGCGATGGTCAGTAGCATCTACCCTTGGCCAAGAGCTGTATAAGTAGTCATCAACAGCATTGCTCTGCTGTTGAGGAGAGAGCACAAGCTTGTCACTGAGATGCTTTATGATAGGGGTGAGGAAGGCTCGGAGGAGAGGAGCCCAACCTGAGATCAGCTGTTATGGCCAATGACAGCCAATGAAGTACATCTGTATTTCCTGGGGTGCGCATCTGTCCACTGTACTTGAAATATAATCTAGAAGAGCTCAAAAGGAGGAGAGGATTGGGTTTTTCTAGCATGATTTTGCTTCTCTCATCCCTGTGTTTCTTTTTAATTCATTATCTGTTAAATAACAGGGGTGATTTTTTTTCAGTGTGCGTGCACAGCTCAGTTTCATTTTTCTGTTTTCTTTGCTCTCTCCATTTTTAACAATTTCCCATTGAAAATCCAAAAACATAGTTACATCTCCACTACAGCTTTATTTGTAAACTGTTAACATTCCTTTTCAAATGTTTAATAGCTGCTGGGGTTTATTCTTAAAATACAACCACCAAAACCCAACGATGATAATGAGTCTTCAAGAGTACTTTAAACAAGTTATCCCAATGATAATGGTCTTCTATTAGAAGATATTTAGCTGGAAGTTGGATGAGCAGTAATGTTTATGGGTTTGTAGATCCATAACCAGACAAAATCAGAATAACTCCTTCGATTTCAGTGGAGCTGTATCTGTTTATTACAACTGAGGCTTAGGCAGCACTTTAGATGCAAATTGCAACCTCTCTGAAGTTAAGTGGGGTTTTGATTTAATTCCTGGAAGCAGTAATGTCAGCAAAGAAGCAAAGAGCTGGGACCCACGTACGCTGAAGTCTGTAACTTTGGGTTGCTCTCTTTCCCTTGCTGTCAAGATCAGATTCCCTTGATTTGGACTAGTAATTAAAATGCAGCTTCTCTTAAGCATCTCCCAAAGGCAGGCAGAGAGAGTGGAAGTGCAGCCTATGCAGATTATTTATATCTCTTTACATACTTTGCAGAAAATGCCAGTAGTGATGTTGTTCTCTCTGACTGCTCGTGGTTGGGCTGCTGACCTGGAGCTTGTGTTTTCCAGCTCCAAAAATGCAGAGGCGCTACTAGGCTGTGATACAGAGAGGGCTGTGATCTCCTTTCTCCCAGTGTATTTGTGTCCGTGTGGTGCTTGGGAGACATGGACCACCGCTCATCACCCCCACTGTGTGTGGCATAAATGATTCACCATGCATTCATTTCTGGTCACATAAGGGCCATTGGTTTAAAGCAGGCTTGAGGCAGAGGTTAGTGTTAGCTATTTGAAGTCTTCAGTCTGGAAGCAACATCAAACAGGGGGCAGAAAATGTATCATGTACAGAAAAATCTCTAGGATTTGTTTGCCCCTTTAAAAAATAACAATAATAATAAATTCCAAACTGCTCACATATGCTGTCTCCTCTGTGGTCAGGACACCTGTCTGCATCTTTGCTGTTACTTGATATGGGCTTACAGTGCTTGCAAAAATGTTAACACGAGTGTTTTGTCATGGCAAATATGAAAGGAATATCCAGCGTCTGTGTGGGCAGGTCTTCAGCAAATTTCTCTGTGCTTCTTGCTCTTTGGTGTGGATCTGAAGCAAGTGCTGCAGTTCTCATCCCCGGTTCTCCCCTTCCTTCACCACACACCAGGAGCGTGAAGCTGCTGCCCTGCCAGGCCTGGTTCCCCTGAGCAAAGACAGCTGATGGTGGGGCTAATGGGTTTCAGCCTGGCTTCCTTAAAATAATAATAATGTATGTGACTGGCTAGATATGTCTCTCCTCCCTCTTTTTAATGATTTAATCTCAGCCATGTTTATTAAGAGATAATTAGGCTTTAGTTAGGAGGAGCTGGGTGTGACCTGGGGCAGCTGGGAGAGTGGCAGGCAGGGAGAGCTGGGGCAGGTGGAGGTGGACTGGACCGTTCACTAACCATCACTATTATTTTTTAAACTTTCTTATTTCTTCAGGACTGAGATGAAAGGAAATAGAAGAGACCAGAGTAGGCTCAGATATCCTTAAGCTGGGAGTACGAAAGGCTGCTGGTTGAAAGCAGAGTGTGGTAACTTAGAAGACCTGTGTTTTCTTTTTAACTGGGAGTCTTTGGAGGCACCCAAAAGGAAGGCAGGGCTGGAGGTGGAGGTAGGGTTTAAGCTGACCCACCCTGCTGCTTCTTCCGCAGTTGCTGTGTGTTTAATGCATTCCATCTCAGCTTCAGTTCTTCTTGGTGCTCTCATGCAAAGCCAGTGCTGGAGGGGTGACTCACCACTGGCCTGAGCAGCAGAGGAGGCTTGGGAAGAAGAGGCTCTTTAAGCATGAGAGGCAGAAGGGTGTCTGGTCAGGATCTGAAAGAGACTCTGTTACCTGCAGCCCTTACGTCAGTGCCTTTCACCAGCTCGACAGTGATTTAAAACAAATAGCTTCTCTCCCAAATAAACCTCAGCTACTCTAACATTTGCTCATATGTAATCTGTCCTGCCAATGTGTGAAAAACCCTTATATGGGTCAAAACAGGGACAGACTGACACATCAGTTGTATCAGAGGGGAAAAAAAGCTGTGGTCTGCTCCATACAAGATGACAGCTGGCGTTGTGGGCCCTTTTGGGGCTGTTTTCTTGGCAAGGTGTCGCAGCCAGCTTGATTTACTTTCTGTTCTCTTGGTGAGCAAAACATTGATTCTGACCTTTCTGTTTGCACCCACAGAAGTCCCTTGGAAGAGCCTGTCCATACATCTGTCTGGGTGCCTGACAAGGCTGCCTTGCTTCCAGGTGAGGAATGGATTAGGTCTCAGGGATTTTACCAGCTGCTGAGTTTAGAGAGAGTGGGAAGACCCTGGGACCACGTTTGGCCATTTAGCAAACAATGGGCATTTCTCCAAAGGCTGGGTGGTCGGAGGCCAGGCTAATGTGAGGGACTCAAGGTGGTTCTACTATTTCTGGGTCCAGGTCTGGAAGCAGCAAATGTGCAGGCCATCCTGGGAATGGGAGTGTTGCATGGGAAGGGTTGCGTGGTCCTCTGGGCTCTATTATTTTGATGTCTTTTTGAATGAGACTTTCCTGTTTCTGGACCTGAACTCACTCCCTGTCCACGGCATGGTTCTGTGCAGCCTGGATATGCTTCCAGCTGATGATGGAGAGCTGACTGTATTATTAGCTTTAATATAACTGTACTTCAGTGTATGAAAGTAGAAAAGTATGTAAGTCTATTAAGAATAACCTGAATACAAATTTATGTGAGGGGCAAATCAATCCATTCTTCAGAATTGCCAGTTCAATCAAATACACTGGAGATATTAAGCTGTGACTTAAGGATCACCCTGATAAACTACCCCAAATTCTTGAGGAGTCCCTTACCAGGTTATGCGCTTTGTCCCCATCCTGTAATACGATGATTCAATTGCAGCAAGGGTAAGACTGCAAAAAAGGAGCAGTGTCAGGGCAGCAGGTCTGTCCTTAAGCCTCCCTCAGTTGTGCCATCCCAGGAGGCAAAAGAGGTTGCTAGAGGTGCCACAAAGTCACAACAGCTGGGGGAAGAAAGCAGTGAGCAGCCCTGCTGAGGAGCTGGTCATGAATGAATGCGGGTAGCTGGTCTACAGCGGCTCAGTGGCCATGAAGTTCTCCAGGAGGAGACGAGCCTCAGGAGAGTGCAGTGCCTCTGGGCAGTCTTTGCTGTGGTGACGGTTCCCTGAGCCTGGTGCCTGCACCAAAAGGCCACGTGTGGTGTGTGCACTGGGCGCTGCATTGCGAGCCAGCCTGGGTCCAGAGCAACCCATTGCCATGAGGGAAGGTGCGTGTGGGGTTTTGTTCTTCCGCTACTATGGTGGATTCAACTAGGGGAGCTTTTAAATTTGCCTTGATCTTACCCAACTTGAGAGTTGTAAGAGATCCATACAGCACACCGAAATCAGAAGTGCCTCTTCTTTACCCTGTTGTGTCACTGAATGTAACTGCACTTTCATTCTGCTCTTTCGATATGCAGTGCACATCTCTCCTTTCTTTCTTTACCCTCTTCTTGTTGTTTTTTTTTTTTTGTGTGTGTGTGTAAATTATGGCTAGCTGGAGATGAGATTTCAGCATCCTGTTTACTGCAAACAGTTGGGGACATTAATAAATGTTGAAAGACAAAGACAGACCAGGGATTAATAAGTAGAGGACAGGAGATTAATAGCAAGAGAGTAGTATTTGGTTCAAGGCCTGGTCTTCCCAGTTGCTGGGTTAGGGAAGATTAATGGCAGCTCGTCTGTTAGTCTCACTCTTTCTGTGGCAGCTTTCCTGGCTAAGTCTAATAAACTGTCCCAGTGGGTTGCTGTAAATATGAAATCTAGGAAGAAGCCCATCCTTATAGACTGTTAACTAAATGAGACAGTATTAGTTTTGCTTTCTATTCAAAGCTTAAGCAGCAGCATCAATATATTTGTGAGTGGTGAAGTCAGATGTTCAGGTGCTTACAACTCAGGACAAAAACATGTCATAAAATGTATTTGCCAAGCAAGCTGTCTCCTACAAATTGTTTTTTTTACTCTGTGTCCTGTGCAAGAGATCGATTTTTCTTCTCTTGACTGGGTTTTCAGCTTTGTTTCCTTGGAGAACTGGGCTCTTGACCTATTGCATCTGGCCTCTTATTAGGCTTTGCGTGAGATCAGATCATTGTAAGGAAACGCTAACTTTGCAAAGAGCATTCTTGGTTAAATTTGCTGGAGGATTGTAGAACATTGTAGAACTGCGTCACAGAAAGTCTTTATTCTGGTAGAAGGGTGCATGGTGTTCTGGGTGTCCTATATCAGTCTCAACCTCCTACCTTGTCTGAAACTGCCAAGTCAAGCATGGCAGTAGACCTTTGGTGTCTGCTCTCATGTGTCTTCACAAAGATGTTCCCAAGCTCTTCATGCATAGGGTTATACCAATAGACAAGTATGTGCATGGCCATTTTGGGAAGGAAGCAGCTGTGTTCCTGTACAGTGAGTGTGATGAAGATAGGGCTAACATCAGCACTTCATGGAGCAATAACTGAATTTCTTTTTCAGGGAAGAAAGGCCATGCACTGCTTCAGTGTCCCTGTAACAAAGCCCTTCCCCTCGTCTGCTCTTGCATGCAGCGCCCTTGGCTTTTCAGAAGTTAATTGATTTGTCCATATTACGATTCTCTCTTTAGTTTTATTTGTGTAAAGCAAAACACATGCTAATCTTCCTCCAGAGAAATGTTTCACACTGCTCCTCTTTGAACGTTGGCCCCGGGTCTGCTGCATTTCTTAATGAGTCTCTAACTAAACAGCCACAGTTCCCACATGCTCCATCCTTGACACACACATACTTGTACACCCACGTGCCTGCTCCCAGCTGAACCGCGCAGCCTGTCTGCTCCCCTCTCACGCTCACTGCTTTGGGATTTGCATTAGCAAGGCAGCACCTCCCTGGGAAGCCCTACATGCAAGAGAGGGCTTTGTACCCACAGGTATAGATATATTTGTCATCACATGAGCTGTCCTGTCAATCGCAAAGGCTGTAACCTCTTTATCACGCTGTCCCCCCACCCCCAGGCTCATTTCACGTGCGTCTCTGGGAGCCTGGATTCCTGCGGGCTGCACTACCCGTGGTGAGGACCTGAGCGAGCGCCGAACATGGAGCCGAACACCCAACACTCAATTACTGTCTGGTATGCCACTGGCTGCCAGATCTTTGATAGCTTGTTTTTAATGAAGATTCCTCCTGTAATTCCTAGAATATCTTACAGTGCAAAAAATGAGCTCTGTGTGTATTTTGCTGTGGGCTGAATTTTTTTCCTGCTCTTCACAGTTCCCTCCATGAACAGAGAGGAAAGGGAGGGGGAAGCAGCTGACTGCTTTTTTTGTTGTTGTTTTTTTACTTGACTTCTGTGAAATATGTGGCGATCAATCGCTCGCAACTAACAAAATGTTTTTGTTTCTCTTTGCAAAAGCATATGGGAACTGCAGAAAAAGCATATGGGCGTTTTTAGGAAAACATATTGGTGAATGGACAAATTATAGTGGTGCCAATATGTTTTGGATGTCTGGCTAGACCACTACTACTACCACACTTGCTGGCATGCAAACACATCCACAAGATTTCCAGCGTGAGAGTGGTGTGTAGCTGCTCCTGGGGAAACACAGGCTGTGCTGGATCAGACCTCTGTTAAAATAGCATTGTGATCCATCTTTGGTGTGCGTGACTGCCTCACCATGTCCCAGACTAGGCTCTGGGCTTGTGTTTATGGCAGCATATCCATTCTCTCGGTAGACTGGGCCCAGATCTCCACTTGCAGCTGGCTGCAAGCAATGATAATGGTAACCATTTTTCTTTCTAAAGCCCTTGACTGCAGTCCTAATAACACCTGAGCATCTTGCAAACAGGCTAGCGGCCTGTGGTTTTCCTCTGCTGCTCTATCAAGGTCTTTCTGTGTTAGCTGGAGCTATTATTTTTAATTTTTCCATCAGTGGGCTGCTTTTGAGGAAAAGCAAAATATTGCTTCTGGGCCCAGGCCTGTTTGCCTTGATACTGGTGATCAGGGAAAGGGATCTGCGATCCGGGAAGAACTTGGTGGGGAATGGATTAAGTGCTCTTAAATGGTGTGTTGATTCTGCTGGCTCACAGCATCCCTACAGCTTGTTGCCCTGCTGTGGACCTCCATGCAAGGAGAAGTCCTTGATAGCTCTGTCTGGGCAATCCTTCCAGGTCACCCTGGCAGGGAGGGAGGGAGCGCTGCCTGCTCTGCTTCGGGCTGTGTGGGGTTGCAGGGGTGATAGCAGCTCTCTGCCCACATAGGGCTTTCAGCAGGTCCTAGGGGACTGGCTGAGATGGAGGTCTCCTTGTGCTGGCATACCTAGGAAGAGACCCTTCCTGTCTGTAAGGGCTCATGGTCTAAATGGGCAAAGCAGAGTTGCTGAGAAGGATGTAGTGGTCTCTGAGTGTCAAGGAGATGTGCGATAACTGAACTTAGTGGTTTCATGAGCAGGTTCAACTAGAGTTTGTACAGCTGCTAGAAGAGGTGGTCCTGCTCTCTGTGTGTCCGTGACTCTCATTCCTGGCCATACAGTCACTTTTATCCTTTACAGGCACAAGCAATGAGACAGAGGAGAGGGCAAAACATGTGGCTAGAGACTGAGAGGATAAGCAAGATATGCATTTGGGCAGTCATTTGGACATCACATTGTTTATCTCAGTTATGAACCTGCACTCTCAAATATTCTGAGTGGTAATTCAGCACCTTTTAGCATTCTTCCCCTTATGCCAACTTTGGGATGATTTGCTACTGAGTAATTTTACATTATTTAATGTAGCCACTTCCCTTATAGCTCTTTTGTTCCGTGAGACAATTCCCTATTTTATTATGCAAACAGTACATTAAGATCCTTGTGGGCCAAAGTTCCCAGCAGTGCTTGAGATGACGGCAGAGAAGTAGGTTATTTCAGAAATAATGATTCTCTTCTCTAGAAGCTTTCTTGGAGTTCTGCTTTAACTGCTTTTGATATTATACATGCTTTAAAAAAAATAAAATCCAGTACTTCCTAAATGTTATAGAGCTCAAAAAATACACTGTATGCCTTGTCACAATATTTAATACAGAGTGCTATTTACAGTAATGAATCAAAATGTCAGTTTTTAAAATATGAACTGTCAGAGTGTTCCTACTTTGCAGAAAACTTTGATATGACAGTTTGTTAATCATATGACTATTACATCAAATGTGTCTCAGAGTACTTTTGCTCAACAAAGTCTTTTTTTATTCCTTCCCCCTCTCTTTTCACTGTTAAT